CTTCCTTTTAACAAGCTGTTTTGGAGCTAATCAGAGACACTTGCAATCCGAACAGGGGCTGAACCCCTTTGTCATAGTCTCTCCTTTTCTGATAAAGCATTTGAAGTTCTGGCCAAGTTGGATCCCACTTTCATTAAGTTCTTCAGGACTCACCCTGTTTTATTTAACATAAGGAGCGTGGGTGTGTTCTACCCGACTGTGAACTGTTCATTAAATCAGAAAGCTGACACACCCATCAGCCTCCAAACAGGAATCAAAATCTCTTCCGTGGTGAAAATTTTCTGAGGCTGGCATTGTATGATTTATTGCACCTTGGTTCTGTTTTAGCAGGAGAGGCAAGCAAAGAGGTGATACCTCAGGAGATAAAGCATGGTGTCTTTGTGGATGGGAAGGATTTAGCTTCACAATGGGCTGGTACAACTGAGGAGGGGGGTGGGATATACAGCTGGGAGGGCATCATGAAGCTGGCACTGTTGTTAAGAGAAATAGTTGTAATTTTGCCTAAGTTTAGGCGTCCGAAGCGTGTGCACTTGGAGGTGCTGTTGTCAGTAAATGACATCTTAGATGTGTTTAGTTGCCCTCTAATAGCAATGCTCTCATTGGCTGAATTCTTAAGTTTTAGGCACTTCTCCAGGTGGGGTGAGCCCAGGCCTTAGTTCTTCTGCCTCTCCAAATCCTTCCTGTCAGAGCTCTTCTTGTTTCTCACAAGGCAGAAACAAGTTTGCAGGTAGTTACTGCAAATGAGCTGATGCGAAGCAAGATTCCCCGTTGTTGTCTCTCACGGTATCTTGCACCTTCATGCCCTAACGGGAAACATCTCCAGAGCAGACAAGTGGTAAACCATACTAAGCTAAGCATCTTCCTACAGGAATAACTGCGTGCTGAGGGGACGGCACTATTTCATAGACGCCAGTGTGCTCAGGGCGATGTAGCGTTCTTGTACAGACATGCTGTAAGGCACTTTGCAGTCAATTGCAGCCTTGAGATAATTAACGTGGCTCCCTATTGCCAATCGATTCCTCCCACGTCTTACTCCACCCAGCTTACTCTGTCTAGTCTTACTCTTACACGCAGCAAGAAAATAATTCACCCACTTATTTGTGCCTGGTGCTTTATCAAGTCTTGTGTCTCATCAAGAGTGATAAACATTACTGGAAAACATACTCTGGTATTTTGTTATCCCACGTTCCAAATATATGTGCAATTGCCAATTTGAGGCTGAAACTAACATTTATGGCACAGCTCCGCTATGTCTCGCACCTCATTTAGGGCTTGTCCACAAAAATTACCAAGCAGTCTTCTGTGCCTTGAACTGCACTGCTTGGCCCTAACATGCTGTGTGGATGCTCTTAGGCTGCAGCAGCAAAGTGATTAGGCAAGCTAACAAACTCCACTCAGAAATCACCAGCTTCAGGTGTTTCTGTCCAGCTTCTGACTCACATGAGCACCACTGCCTGAGAGGCTGCTTCACGCCCCAGATTAGGGAATTTGCATGCTAAGAGAGAATGGTTTGATAGCTTCGGTCAGGTTCACAGTGCAGCTCCACAAACAGCTGAGTATGCAGAAGAGGAAGCAGCAGGAGCTCAAGGCTAGGTGGAGAAAAGAGATAGGAACCTTAGGCAGGTAATGCTACCAAAGCTGAAGCCCAGTTTCATGTCTGCTGCATCTGGAGAGAGTTTGCAGGAAGAACAGGATGGTTCACCCAGGCTGATACACTCTAAACTGCCCCCCTTTGCTTGTCAGCAGGCAGGTCCTTGGCATTTCCCAACTGGAATAGGAATGACGTACACTGATGTGGTACTGGCCCAGCCCAGGTGAAATGAAGAAGCTAACACTTATCCATTAATGTTACTGCAGCTCTTGGGAGCCCCAGGCAAGGGGCACAAACTTACTAGGACCCAATCCAGCGAACATTTGCACATGGAAGGATCTTTATCCACACGCATATTTAGAACTGGGTCCCTAGCAGAGTCTGCTGATACAGCTCAGAATACAAACCAAGGAAAGGTTAGCTGGCTGCTGAGATCGTGTGATTGTTTTCTTTTTTCCAAACCATCCTGTTTGAGAGAACATGCTTTTTTAGTTTTAGTTTCATCCTCGAGTCATTTGGGAGGAAATCAGCTTTGTTAATTTCTCCATGCAAGAATCCCCACCAGTAAGCAGGTCTAATTTTGTCTGTGTTTTGTTGAAACATCTCTCAATATCAAAGCTTTGAAATAAAGATAAAAGGAAGGGATCAAGGCAGGGTTTCTAAAAGGCCTTAAACCCCTGAATTTCTGTGCAAGTGTGACACTTTTCTTCTGGTTTGCCATGCTTTCAACTGCTGTTTCTCTCTTTCTCCGTAGGAATTGATTTGTCAGAATGCCTGCAGTATCCAGACTTCAGCGTTGTCGTCCTCTACAAGAAAGTTATTATTGCCTTTGGCTTTATGGTGCCAGATGTGAAATACAATGAAGCTTACATCTCTTTTCTGTTAGTTCACCCTGAGTGGAGGAGAGCTGGGATTGCAACCTTCATGATTTACCATCTTATCCAGGTAATGAAAAAAATCCCATGTCTCTGCTAAAGACCTAGCTCTCCCTTCTGGTGTGCACAAATGCAAATACTAGAATGTAAGTAGTCTTGTGTTCCTCCTTTCTGTCTCTTTCACCTTGCCCTTTCTTTGCTTACAGACTTGCACAGATTGTCAGCAGCCCGTGTGAATATTATGGGAGGAAATCGCTTCAAAAGCAGAAACTAAAATGTATTTAGAAGAATAACCATATTGGTTAGGCCCTCAGAATTAGTGAGATGCTGTAGACTTAGACTGTCTTGGGATTAACTTTGTGTTCTTCAGTGGCCAATAGTTCACATAACAGTAATACTGTAAATTTGGGGTTTAAAGGAGAAAATGAGATAATACTGGGAAAGTTCAGTAAGAATCTACTACAGCATTTCTTGGCTACAGCTGGAGGTTTACTCTGTGACCAGGGCCATTGCATTACATCACTTGCTGATCTTAATCGTTCTCTTTCACTTCTAATATGCTGGTTCAGATCCAGCTGAACTGAAGATAAAGAGTAAGTGTTTGCAACCTCATTCAAATTTGTTCAAACTAGCTTGTACTGGGCTTCGTTCCACAGGGACAGTTGGGAAAATTAATCTAAGCTAACTAAAGCCCACCACTAAAGGGGTGGTATTAAAGTAGGTAAACTTCAGTAAATCTCTGAATGAATACTGTTATACAGGTGGCCCTAATTCCATTCACTTCAATTAAACTGCAGGAAAGTCAGGTTAATTTTGAGTGAGGATGCAGACAGATGGCATTTTTAGAGCCCAACTGTGCCTCTTCAGCAGGGCCCACAGTTTTACTGCTCCCTGAACTCTCTTGGCAGAGTTGCTGATGTGAAACATTCCTTAACTTGTTTTAGTCGAGATGAGCTGCACTAGCAAAAACTCGACATTGAAACTGTTTCTCCTCGTACTCATTTGGCTGAAGAGAGGTAGGGAGTGCTGGCAGAGCCTTGGGAATGGTGATCTGTCCCTTGGAAAAGCAGTTTCCACTGAGAGTAGCACTTCTGGGCCACCCGAGGCTAACTTTTCTACCTACACAGCTCTCTGCAGCGTCCACCTCTCTCTGCTCTACATGTTGACACAGGCCACTAACCAATCTACTCTATATTCAGCCCTTACATTTCCTGTGCATCTCTGTATAAAGTGCTTTTAAGTAAATTGCCTTCAACTGTAGTCTGTTGACATGGGATGTCAACGCCTAGTGAGAACAGGCACGAGCAATGAGCCAGTTTGCTGGGATCCAGCAGCTGGACTCATGTCTCTCCAGCAGAGTTGGGATGTGTTGGCAAGTCAGCTGTAGAAAATCATCACAGCTTTTTCTAGGACGTATCACCTAATCCTGCTTGCAGGTAGACTAGCATAAAATGGTCATGTTAAGGAGAGCCAGGCAGGTTTGAGACTGATTAGGCTCACTAGCAATGAGAGATCACCATTGTATGTTCAGCTCACGTTAGATTTATTATTTCATTGCTGATTATTTGTCAGTGGTAGAAAGCATTTAGTCATGTAGGAGAAGAACTGATGGTTGTGACCTGTTCCTCAGTCAACAGATTGTATGTGTTGCTTTGCAGCCTGTGTAGGCTGACACAGGGGTCTGCTCTCTGTAGCTAGAGCCTCTTTTGTACATTTTTTGGATTAAGGGTAATTCTCTGTCTCTTGGACCAGTGTGCTCAGTTTGGGGATGAATCCTTGGAAACAGCATAATCTAACAGAAAGTGTGTTGATGCAAATGGTGCCTTGGTGATGGGTTTGTTGTCAGAAGTTATCCCCTAATGCATCCAGCCCCGAGGACCAAGCTGCATGTTCCTAATGATCTCATTCCAACTTCCTGTTCCTAAAAATGGCCCTTGATTATATTTTTTTCCCTTTTCTTCCCCCTTTAAATCCCTGTGAGAGTTTTCCCTTTGAATGATCTACCTTGGAAATTTCCTAAAGGATATTTGTTACTGTTCCCACTTACAGTATGTTCAATACCATAGAATACTATTAAAAGACTAGATGAAAGCAGGAAAAAAATTATTATATCGGCATCTTTATCAGAGAGCTGTTGGTTAGAGTAATCTGGCAACTAAGGTATAAGGAATAAGGTAACTTCAGCCATGCCATTTGCTGTCTGAAGTGAATTCCCTGCCTTCTCAGGAGGCGAGTGCTGTGCCCTGAAGGGTGGGAGAGGAGCTGGGTGGGATAGACAGGAATTCCAGCATGACAGCCCAGAGGTGTGCTGGGGCTGCTCCCGCGGTCCCAGAGAGCTCAGCTCTGTTTGCTGACAGGGAGGAGCATAGCGCCTGATCCACTGGCATGTTTTATCTTTTCTTCAGGCCATTGCTAATAAGTAGAGATTGGTGCTGTACACCGAGATTATTTTTAATTAACAATTACTTAGCAATTGACAATGGAAAACTGACAAATTGTAATCCAAAACCTGTTTTCATTGTCAGAGAGTCCATGTTTCCCAGGAACAAAGGCTCAGAGGAACAGCAGCGTTCCCTTCGCCTTTCAGCTGTTGCTATGTGTGGTAACTTCTGTGTTGAGGCCTGATTTTCTCACATTTCCTGGGTAACTTGAATACCTGAACTGATGAATCTCTTCACCTCCGCATTCCCCCAGAGGCTGTCTCATTCTCTTGCTATGATTCTTTTTTTCTTTTTCCCCCCTCCCTTGGCAGACCTGCATGGGCAAAGATGTAACCCTTCACGTCTCTGCAAGCAACCCTGCTATGCTGCTCTACCAAAAATTTGGATTCAAGACTGAAGAATACATTTTGGATTTTTACGACAAATACTATCCCTTGGACAGCAAGGAGTGCAAGCATGCGTTCTTTCTCAGGCTGCGGCGCTGATCCATTGGAGCTGTCTGAGGGTCTCTGAAAAGCCCAGTCTGTCAAGCAAGGAGCTACCGCTGCTTTCAGTGGAGGACATTGGCTGCCACATGAGAGCTAGAATGCACCAATGCCTTTATCCTTGGGACTCTGAATGTCAACAGTGCTATGTTGTGTGCTGAAACTGCAATCCAAGAGGATTGATTCCTACGCTGTAAGGGGAGAGGGCTGGAAATGCCAACTGGGACATGCTGAAACCACTGGAAGACTGAAATTCTTTATGGGGAGTTTTCCTGCCACTGTTACTTTGGAGAGCCTCATTGATGCACAAACAAACAAACAAAAAAACCCAAACAAAATAATACTTCACTGCAGAGGGGCCCCAGGGATTTCAAATTTTGAAACCTGTCCAAAAAATGTCACAGTTTTTTTGTTTATGGGAAATGAACATCTAAACTTAAATCATCCACAGTGCTTCTGTGATTTGATTGCTTTGTTAGGAACCATGTCTGGAATCCATGAAGGGAAATAAGATATTGGTGCATCTAGCTGGATGCTAACTTCAGGAAAGCTCTACAGAGGCCAGAACAGCAATACTGGAACCATGTTTTAGGAATAATGAAGAGCCTGCGAACTCATGTGATCCTGAATGCAAGGCTCAGAGGAGATGTCTTTCTCCTGCTCCTTCCCTACTGCCTCCCTTTCCCCTTGTTGACCCTGTGCTCAATGTGAAGTTCTTGTAGTACGCAGTGTTTCGTGTTCGGGAACAAGATGTCAAGCGGGTTTGTAGCTAGGCGAGGTAGGACGCAACAGCTGCCAAATCAGCTCTTTGAATTTGTACAACCTGTCTGCCAGTTGTTGATGCTGCAGATCAGCCCATTGGGCACACCTCTAAGCACAGAGCCAGCCTTGCAGGCTCCAGCATCCACCTCCCCCTGCTACAGACGGTCTGGCTAGAAGAAACCCAGAACAGAAGTCAGTGGTGAAGTTTGAGATTCAGGCTGTAGTTTGTAGAAGCAATCTGTCAGCAGCTTGGAAGGAGGAAAGGGTAGAGGTGGGCCAGTCCCAGTTCTTGGAAGCATCTAGGCTGTGATTTCATGGCTTTAAGTGTAAGTAAAGAGGAGAGCAAAGAATAAATAGAAATAACCAAGAATTAAAAAAATACAAACCCCGAGCAGTTTCTCTGGCAGTGGGGTCTAGTCCTTTCACACAGTTTATCAGCTTCTCTCTCTCCCTGACTTTTATTGCAGACGAACAGTAAGCTGGCAGTTGGCTCTGCTGCCTGACCAAAGGTCAGTCTGTGCATTTTAAATATACATCACATCAACTGTGCTGTTCCTTTCACATCAAGCCCCACAGAAAACTACACAACAAATGTGACTTCTTTGTTCTTAATCCACTGTGTATAGCCGTTGGGTGCCTGGCTATAGTAGTAGTTGCCTTAATGGAGTCTTCATTTTGGTAACAGCAGAGGGAGGGACACGAAGTTATGTTTTTTTGTAGCCAGTGTACATCGTCACTAAAACAAAAACGGTGTTAGTAGGAGGGAAAACCCAAGCGTTGTGTGCCCTGCCATCTGTGCACATTTCTGCCTGCTTTATGACTATGTGAAAATTTTTGATGTTACTGATGTTATGAGTAAGCTGTACTTGGAAAGAAAAAAGTATCTGTCTTTATGAATGGAATTAAAGCCCTTCCCTTGGAAAGCCTACCTGTAGTTGTACTGGTTGTTAAGCTGTCTCTCCATCATCTTACTTCATTGAAATCTAGCAAACTGAAGTCTGGCCAATAGAGGATGCAAAGCATCTCTGTGGGCAGCAGAGCAAGGCAAGAAACTCTGTATTTCTCTACTGGGTGTCCACATGGAAGTGACACACATGCAGGCCCTAGCAGGCTGTTTCCTTGCCAGCCAGCATTAGGATATAAAAGATAGTCTGAAGAAGATGACCAGTTCTGCATCATGTTCTAAGGTGGCCATGAAGATTTTGAGGAGCTTCTTGTTCTGTGCTTACTCCTCTGTGGCTTTGTCCCTCAGAGGGAGGATGCCAAGTGATGAAGGTGTTAGAATAGCCCTGGGATTCCTGCTAAAAAACCTCATTCTATCCAGGTGGTTCATTTATCCCCAGATCCTCAAAGGCAATGAAGTGATTAAATGCCTTTGAGCCTTTGCACCTCAACCATTTTGGATCTGTCTTTCTCTGGAGAAGTAGAAATACTGACATTTTCCTTCTTTAGGAAGACTGATAAGAATTAAAGACTCATTAAAGTTCACAGGGGATGGCGATCAATATTGCTGTTCTGCAGGCTCCAGAAATAAGAAATTGCTTTGCGGCTCTGCAGATCTGCCAGCGTTTATGTGGACATGGCTTGTTTCTTGCTAATTTGTCCATATTTCTTGGAAAATCAGCTAGTTAATGGCTATACTTATTATATCCCACACTCCTAGAACTGTGGGCTTAAATTTTGATCCCTTGGTGTTATTTTATGTGATTTTTGTAAACTCCCCACCCTGTTCCTTAGTGCTGCCAGTGAAAATGTAGCATGCCTTTGAATTGCTCGCATGAGATCCTTCCTTGTTGATCCTAATGGCTTTGGTGGGTGAAAGCATGGCTGACTCAAGGACTGCTTTGCTAATACTATGGGCGAAGAAGCTGTGACCCAAAATGACCTTCCTGACTTGCAAAGGGATCCCAGCAAACCTGATATGAAGGACACTGGTGAAGTCTGCAGTATCTGTGTATTATTTTTTCTTGGCAACTCAAGCTGTCTGTGTGAGCACGAAGGCACTGTTTGGTGAGCAGGAGTTCACCCCCTACTTTCAGCAAGAGTCTTCTAAGGCCAGGAAGTTGAGGCCAGCCTCCTAACAGGCACTATGTGAAGGCAGGTGTGCAATCTGATCAGGGCTGGCAGTCTGCCCCGGGGAAACACGCTGGGGTTGCCAGGGAGCTCTGCCTGCCCTCACTAGGCCAGCACCAGAATTAGGCAGCCTTTGAAGCAGCTATAAAATAGCTGCTGCAGCTCCATCTCTTTTTTTTTGGTGGCTGCACAGGGACCACTTTAGTGTCGTCTCAAGAGAACATTTCCTCCCCAAAATGTTGAATAACAAGAAGCCCAAATGGCCCGTAACAGCTCAAGGATACTGCTTGAATGGTCACACAGAGCTGGCTTTCTCTGCAACAGATGAAGCTCTTCCAAGGCACGCAGTGAAACAAACTGAGTGCTCTTAGCCCTCTATTTCCCTCCTCTTTGTGCCTTGGAGACCAGCATGATGAGTTACATTAGCTGTCGTTAAAAAACCAGCATCCACCCCGCTTAATGACATGATTACTCCATGCTTCCCTGAGCTGCGCAGTGACTGCAGTTGCTAAACGCAGCTCAGTTTAATAGAACGAAATTTTCTTGAAGAATAAAGGTGGAACCTCACCCTTCCTAATAGGGTAGCAAAGCCCAAACCTTTCCACATGCTTGTCTGAGCTTTGATACTTCACACCCAGGAAGCTGCCCACTGTGGTCAACATATCATGCCCCATGATCTACTGTAGCTGAGCTGAGTAAATACTGGAATCATTCTGCATAGTCGTCAGTAATTTTGTAGAAGTAACGCTTTGCAGTTTACTTTGAAAGAGAAGTCTCCTACCTGAGAGTCCTGATGTTGCACATGTATGTGCCAAATGCTTCTATTCAGGTTTCAGATCCAGTCTGGGGGAAGCAGCAAAAGTCTGCTTGGTCCGTTCGTTGCCACCTGGGGTGTGAGGATGTGCTTCTTTGCAAACCCACCTGCTTGTGATGATAAGCTCTTAGCAAGTGGTTGAGCTAAATCGTCTTTATCCCTTGTCTCTGACTACTTTGCTTACATCAGCTTGCTCCAGGAGGTAACCTGGTTCACAGGGTTGCTTCCCTCTAGCCCTTGTTGGTTTTTTTTCTGGAGGAGACTCTGACCAAACACTGCCTGCCACATCAGACTGTGCAGGAAACTGAGCCCCTGCCGCTGTGACAGATGAGTAGCCAGTTCTTCCCTGCAAAACCAGCTACCTCCTGCCCCTGCAGCAGCAAGCCAGAGTGCCGGTTCCGCTTCCTTCACCAGGCAGGCGGCGTTAGTCAGGCAGAGACAGTGAGTTCAGCTGCTCCAGCTGCCTGCGGGAGGGGAAGGGCAGCTCCCTGTGGCAAGAACAGACAGCCACTGCCACAGAGCAGTGGGAGCATCTCTGTGCGGGCCCTGCCTCAACAGGACCCTTCTCACTGTGCTTCTCTACCAGCTCTGTCAACACAGAAACCCACGGCAGCTTCTTATGGTTGTACATTTAAAAAAAAATAAAAAAGGTCAAACTGGCAAACTTGTCCTCCTTCCCCTTGGATTTGTGCTGGAGGCTTTAAAAAAGCATCCTTTTTCCTGCTGGCTCACACCGTATCTCTGGCTCCTCGGGATTTACAAGGGTGCTTCTTGCCTGCCCTTGCCAGCACTGCTGTGGGGGCTGTGCCCCGGCCAAAGCCGCTTCGTGTGGGGTGGCGTGCGGCGGCGGGGCTCGGCCCCCGCTTCGCAGGGAGGGAAGGGGAGCCCAGGGATGCCGAGAGCACGGCTCACACGTCAGCCGGAGGCCTAAGGCCCAGAGGGAGGTTTGGGCTGGCGTGGTTCGTCTCACGGGGGGCGAGAGCGTGCGGCTCGGGATGGTTGGGGATGGCTGACGCCGCGCCGGCCCAACGGCTCCCGTGGCGGCCCT